AACTTATGCAGGGTGTTTCTTTTTAGAGTTAAGTTTGCAACTAAAGATTTTTACCATTTATCTCTCCCTTAACTATCATATTCCAAGCAAGCAATCAAACCATAAGAATTGAAACATCCCAAATTAAATTTATTTAGCTTAATTCTTTTCTCAGAAGAACATGGGCGCGCAAAAAGCTACGTATGCGCACAGACCGACCAATCGTGGTGCGCGCGCGCAAAAAGCGGGTAATTAAAAATTCGCTTGTAAAATGGCGGAGGGACGGCTGGTGACATGCAAGCAAAGGGGACTCTTATGCTGGCTCCAGACCAAGATATAAGCTAACGCTCGTATTAAGTGAAGCAGCAAATCGAACGCACAGCGTTGAATCTCTATGATTGGTTCGTGTGTGAACCTGTGCTTCCACGCGCACTGTGAGACCTCATAGTAATGTTTGTGAATACGGGCGTAAGTAGTTAAATGTCAAACTGTACCTATCTCACCGTGACGTGGCGTAATGGTTTTTTTTAACCGACTCCAAAAAAGGTGGAGGTTATTCTATGAAGTTTGACAGACTTTTGACGTTTTTCAAAGCTGTGGTTAAAGTAAGATGGTGCAGCCCAGAGAGTCAGTGAATGCCAGTCTTACGTTCTTTATAAAAGCTGAAGAAAAATAAAGAAGAAGTTTGTTAGCGCAAGCTCCTAACATAGGTAAGAACTAAGAACGTTGGGTCATCATGAAACTTCATCACATGTCATCATCATCATCATGTCATCGTGGCTTTTGCATCTACCCTAAAATACTTGTCTGGCAAGGGGTTGGAACGATCAACATGGAAAGCATTGGGGGAGGCCTATGTTCAGCAGTGGACGTCCGCGTCCCATGGCTGAAATGATGATGATGATGAAGGGGTTGAGGGTCAAAACTATCTGGCTGATGAGAAGGAAACAAGATTAACGATTTCCCAAATGTTATTTATTTATAAAAATCTGCTTTTATAGTAGGTAATACGTAGATTTTTATTACGAGTAAAGTCTAATGAATATACCGTAAAAGCTTACTCGGTATTTGACATGTATTTTGTAGCCGCAGCAAATGTTGCCCCTACTAGAATTCGAACCCGGGACCTCAGTCTGTGGTCTTACCACTACAACGTGTTCCTTTTGTTTTCCAGAAATTTTAAGGGTATCCCAACTAATATTATAAATGCGAAAGTAACTCTGTCTGTCTGTCTGTCTGTCTGTCTGTCTGTCTGTCTGTCTGTCTGTCTGTCTGTTACGCTTTCCCGCTTAAACCTCGCAACCGATTTTGATGAAATTTGGCATAGAGATAGTTTGAGTCCCGGGAAAGAACATAGGATAGTTTTTATCCCGGTTTTTGAAACAGGGACGCGCGCGATAAAGTTTTTCTGTGACAGACAAAATTCCACGCGGGCGAAGCCGCGGGCGGAAAGCTAGTATTCTATAAATAAAAAAACTAGTTAAAGATTCTTAGGAATATGTGTTTCTAAAAGCATATTTTTGAAGATATTGTGGATTCTAGATTTAGAAGATACGTAGTTGATTTAGTTTATACATAGTATCATCAATCTAGTTTTTTTTGTCACCTAGTCTTTTTGTGCAGACTTTTTATTGATAAGTGTATGTAAATTATGAATTATTTCAGTGAAAAATAGTACAGTTAAGTTTTTAAATAATTTCGTATGAAAAAATAAGTCGAAAAAAATTGTTGAAATTAACAAAAAATGTAATGCCATTCCATTCTTTGAAGTGGTCTTATTAATACCCTAGAGTTCCAGGAAATCAAAAAGAGCATGTTGTAGACATTTTAACTAACGTCCGCTTAGCGCGCGCGTACGCAGTTTTCCATCTTAATTATTATGTACTGCACTCACTGCACTTTTTGTCAGTGCAATTTGGGACGTGAAATATTGGCCACTAAGTGTTCCTGACAGTTCAAGGACTGTCACGTTTTGACAGTAAACACTGTCATTACTTCCCACTTTTTTTAGGGCCAGATTCTGTCCAAAACAAAAAAAAAACATGATTTAAACAGGGCTCGTAGAGCTGATGGCCGTTGGGGCAGAAAAGTTCTCGAGTGGCGACCACGGGCCGGAAGACGTAGTGTGGGCTGGCCACTAGGTGGACTGACGATCTGGTAAATTAATGAAAAAATAATCAAAAGTTATAAATAAGTAAAAAAATATTTTAGCTATTATAAAAAAATATGTATAAAAAGGTAATATTGCAAAAAAGGTAATGTAAAGTTTACATTACCTTTTTGTTTACATTTAACAATATTGATATTGATTTAACACATTGTAAACTGACTTAAATATCAATATTATTAAATAATATGTAACATTAAAAGAAAGAAATTATCATAAAGTAAATTATTATCCAATGCATCGTGTTAATTTAACACTTGCAGCGCCACCGTTCGGCAAGGTGACGAACTACTGGACATATCATTTAACGCCATCTATAGCAGACTTATACAACTTATAGTATCTTACGCAAATCTGAAACGGTTACTTTAGTTTGATAGAAAATGCACAGATGACGCTTATTTACCATCATGAAAATGATCTGAGCGGGGCGAAGTGTGAAGCACTACCAAAATAAAATTATTTAATTTTAAATAATAAAAGAACGACTATCATTTAATTATAAAACCATTGTAATAAAATTCTGGGTATCCATATTTAATTCGTAGGTATCAAAATACATATTTTATTTTATTAAAATTATGAAAATGTTGATCGAAGAATGTAACATTGAATAAAATTGGCTAATTTCTGTGGAATTTCATATTCTCACATAGCCAAATCCCCCGGGGATAGAGGGATTAAAGGGTTAAGGGAAGCTTGCAATACAGATAGGGGAGACTGGCATTAAATATGTCTCAAAATGGACATACTGTCACAGGGCGCTACACTACAGCACAGAGCGACTTACTTTTTTTTTATATTCGTCGTCGCACAGGAAAAAATAAATAACGAACGAATAAAGAACAAGACTTTGCGCGCATTTTATAAGATTTTTGAAATGTTTTTTTATAACTTTAAATAATAATGGTTAATTTTATGATTTTTTTAAGATTATTGACATAAACGACCAACGCTATCTAGTGGATTTCATGTGTAATTATTCTGACAGTCCCCCCATCTTATGCCGCAACCCCATCATAAAACGTTCGTCCGAGATGGGGCGTACAATAGTACAAAGACTACTATTGACACAATGATACACTCGCACGAACATCAAATCAATATCTATTCATAAAAATGCTGATTTAACTCTGTATTTGTTAAGTTTCCTGCTTAAGTGCTTATTCTGCCCTCTGTAGGAATACAGTTGTTTAAAAAAATTCTTTAAAAAAAGTAGGTATGCAATTTGATTAACTTAGTATTATACCATCGTAGTACAATAAGTAAAATGTATGTAGACATTTAATAACTTACTTTAGATTTCAAGATTAAATTGATAAAGAATGTACAACGTTCGTACCTGTTTGTACTAAATGTAGAAACTTTGAAAAAATCAATTAATTATAATTTATTGAAAATATTAGGTAATTGCAGTCTTTTAAAAAAAAACATGAATCCTAAACTTGAGCGTAGACAAAGTCGCAGGATTTAGCTAGTCACTAGTTCACTACATTATTTTATTCGCGCCGAGATGAGTTGTGGGCCAATTTCAAACAAATTTTTTTTGAACACTATTAATCGAAATTGAAAAAAAATCTACATTTAGTACCTACCTACCGTTATTTAAATAAGAATGGACCATTATTGTAAAAAAAAACATCACTTCAAAAATCTTATAAAATGCATGCGAAGTCGGGGCAAATTGCTTGTGTAATTTTAAAATGGGGTCAGCCCTCTGCTATAAAAGAAAAGCATTCAAGGTTGCGCGCGCTAAAAACACGTTATCGCCGCATGTCGCTCGTGCTTTAGTTAAAATACATAATGGTTCCCTTTATTGTCACAAGATGGCGCATGTACATTTTCGTCGAAATTCTGTCCCGCGGTGTCCAGATTTTTTTTCCTTTCCTTGGGTCTGGCGGCAACTCTTCCATCGGCACTCTGGTTTCCCTTCAACACGTATAAATCTTTCGCCTTTTACTAAAGATTTCCGTGGAGGGGAACACTCAAATGAGTCTATAACTATTTTTGACACCCTGCTCCGGCAGGGTAAAAAATCTCTAAGTCGTCATCGCTGAGGTACGTTCTTGATACCTGTGGGTCTAGACAAAGTGCAAATTATAATCGCAAACCAGTCGAAAAGCCCCTTTTTTGTATGGAGATTTGACGGATTCGATTTTCGATTCGATCAAAAAGTGCGTTTTGTCTAAGGGGGCTGTGCGACGACGAATATCAAAAAATGTAAGTCGCTCCGTGCTGTAGTGTAGCGCCACAGATAATATAATACTAGGTAGCGCCCTGTGACCTATGTCCATTTTGAGACATATTTAATGCCAGTCTGCTACCTGTATTGCAAGCTTCCCTTAACCCTTTAATCCCTCTATCCCCGGGGGATTTGGCTATGAGTCACACACTCAAATGAGTCTATGAATATTTTTGACACCCTGCTCCGGCAGGGTAATAAATTCCCCTTTTAATCTCATCACTGCGACATCTAAAAGTCAAGGTGACACAAGAAACACTGGCGATTAGGGGATTCTCCTTTACAAAATACTTTGACAAAATTCCCCTTTGAGTCATGTGTATCCCCACCATGGGGACAGTACGGAACCTCAAATTAAATAGTTTTAAAACCCTTTCTTCATACATTTTGTACAGAAAGAGGAATCTGTGACGTCTCTGTCTCTCCAATCGATCTAAATTCTCAAATTTATGGTTAATATTGATTTTTAAAGCAATAGAAATTAATGTAACCAAGTAATTTAATTAATCGTGACTTGGAATTATCTCTGCCTACCTATAGCTAACTGCCTAATTATCTGCATTACATGAAATTAAAAAATAACAATTCATTTTACTGTTTATTAATTTTATACAAATGTTTATATTATTTCATTTTGAGTAGAAACTTTATGCACATCACTGCCACAGGCTTGGGACATCATAATAGCGGTGTATTTCTTATCTGAAAGATAAAGTACCTGATTAAACTCAAATTCAAATAGTTTATTCAGTGCATAGGCCCTTCCCAGGGCACTTATACGCGTCCCAAATATAGCTTGCCCTACCACCACTTCGGGACAACATATTATTATGGGCTGCAGAGAAGAAGTGGCGGATGAAACTCATGCCCGTTTTCACCATCAATCCCTATTTTTTAAGTGACCCCAATGGTAACAAATAACAGGAATTTTGCTTACAAAGGGGTCACTTAAAAAATAGGGATTGATGGTGAAAACCCGTGTCTAAGCTTTAGAAGCTGTGCTTAGTACCTAATCTAAGGCCCGGTTTCCACCAAGCGGAGCAGAGCGGAGAAGTGTTTTGAATAACCAAACATATTTCATTATTTTAACTTCTCTCCGCTCCGCGCGACGCCACCCGCCCGCTGTCAAATCGATATGTATAAAAAAATCGGTTATTCCCTGTCGCCCTCACCGGCATCGCCCCCACTGGGGGCAACTGCGAAGTGTGGCTCCTTTGAAGTATCCTGGGAGAATAATTTTTAAATTTTGAAACAGTCCCAGTCTCCCCCACTTGAGACGCCGTAAAGTCTAGATATTTTTTCCTGTTGCTAGAAGTCAAGTGAATAATGTAGCAATTGTTTAAATATTGAATAAAGTGGTTCTGAATGCTGTTCTGGCCTGACTCTTCTCCGCTCTGCTCCGCTCCGCCTTGGTAGAAAAACCACTGTATCATAAAGGATTTTAGATTTTTTTATTTTTCTTTTTAATATTTGACAACTTTTCTTAGAAGCCAAATTAATTTATTCAAATTGTGGACAAAGTCCCGTGCAAAATTTGGATTTTTTGATTTATTTTTATTAGTTTTTAATTTATTTACTTTTGATGACGAGTAACTAAATTGTTTACCAACCGGTTAACATGGAAAGCATTGGGGGAGGCTTATGTTCAGCAGTGGACGTCCTAGTGTCCTATGGCTGAGATGATGATGATGATGATGAACTAAATTGTTAAGAAACAAGTAAATTTGCAATACCTAAACTAGGTTACTAAGTTTTAAGCACTGTATTTAGTTATAAGACCTTATGTAGGGGAACCTGTTGAACCTTGGACAGAGTTGTACCTAAAACAATTGTATATATTTTTTAAATTATGCGGTTTTATGAAAAGTTGTCTAGGGTATTACATACGTTATTTGTCAACATTAACGTGAAGTTAGCTAAGATTCGCCGACGCCGTGCAAGTACAAGAAAAAATGGTAATTTAATATTTTACACTGACGCAGTGACATTTTGGAGGTTTACTTCATGTCAATTTATGAAAAATGTTGCATGTTTGACAAAACGGTTATAGTTAGAACATAATCTTTATATATCTAGCTACTGGACATATCAACATTCAACAAAATTTTCTAGAAAAAATGTTGAATATTGTCATATTTTTGTTGATTGTGTAAGGCTAAACATGGACTGGAGAGCCGGCTTAAACTTAAGTGATTTGTTGCCAAAAAATTGTGAAAAATAATTAGTACAAAAAATATGGATGAGGATCTTTTTAAAAAAATACTTTTACTTAGATATTGTTGCTAATAACTGTAATAATTGGTGTTTCAAATAATAATTTAACAGAAAATTAACAAATTGAAGCGAATATAAGCATTTATTTAAATTTAAATAGGTACAACGTACACGGTCCAAGGTACATCTGGTTTGTTGTACCTAGGACAGTTTTCCTTTTTTTTTTCTAGCAGCTAGTATGCCCAAATTTTTAAAATTATACACAATTTTATGAATGAATTATGTAGTTAATTAAATGATCTTTAAATATAACTGCACTAGACAAGTTTAACTATCACCATTATTTTTCAAAAAATCAAAATTCGAAAAACTGGCCTAAGTACAACAGGTTCCCCTACCTACACTTAGTGAGCAAATAAATGAATATGAATATGAATAGGTATGAATACTTACTGTAACCAATAATATCTTTTATGAATTGGGGCGCAATGATTTTCTTCATTTTGTTTCTAAATACGGCTAATCTGTAAAGAAAGAATATTTTTTCAAGTTATTTAGCTAACATTTAGTTTGTTTTTTAATAATAAATAATTTTCCCCTTTTTTCCCCACTGCTCAACTAGACTGCTCAACCGCTCAACTGCGAATAGTTGAGCATTCGGGAATCCCCAATGCTCAACTAAATTGAGTTGAGCAGATTTACCTCGAAGCGAATTTTGTTTATCGTTGGAAAATAGAGATCTGATATGAGATGATAATAATTATCAATAATTATTTTAGGCTACATTTTAATTTTATGAAGTCAAATAAATTTTATTTACATCATAAAACTTCTCCAGTAGAGCAGTTTATAGTTGGGCAGTGGGAAATATAACCAGTTGAGCAGTTTTTTTTGAGTTGAGCAGTTGAGCAGTCTAGTTGAGCAGTGAGGAAAAAAGGAATTTTCCGTGCAGTTTCGGCTTTCTAATCTATCATAGGAACACCAGTGCTTTCCATAGCAATCGTAATAAAAGGCGACTTAGAGAAAAATAAGCGAACATCAGGCCTCCCCAACCTGTCTGGCCAGCGTGGGGAGTGTAGGACAAATCCTCCATTTGCCTCTGGTACATTAGAGAGGGTCGTGCTCCTGCAATGGAGACTGAATGACCGATGATGATGATGATGTATTGATTATACTTACTCGCTTTTAGTAGGACCCGCTAAGCGCATCACTTGAGCACGCATGCATCGGTAACTGTGCGATCTATTGAAGTGTTTGCATCTGTAAACATAAATAAATTAATACTTCATACATCATTCATCAACAGCCCTTTACAGTCCACTGCTGGACTATGAGCCTCCTCCACTATAGTGGAGGGTTTTGCCATAATCTCCACGCTTGGCAGGCGGGTTGGAGATCGCAGTTTAAAAGATTGATGTTTTTCAGAGAGCGCTGCTGCCCATTCTCTGTTTGATGTGTAGTCCCTAAGTCGCCTCTTACGACACCCGCGGGAAGAGTAGGGGTTGGTGACAAAATGTATTCTACTCTGCCGTCACCACACGGCTTAATACTTCATACGTTTCAGCCAAATGACGTCCACTGCTGGACAAAGGCCTCCCCCAAGGATTTTCGCATCAACCGGCCCTGTGCTGCCTGCATCCAGGCGCTTCCCGCGACCTTCACTAGATCGTCGGTCCACCGAATGGGATTATGCGAGGTATACCACACTACGTCTTTCAGCCCATGGTCACCACTCGAAGATAAAGTGACTTGACGACGTCAAGTTGACGCAACTGACTAAATTGTGACTGAGTTTCTTGCGCTGTTTTTTCTCAGCACTCTGGCCCATTTATTGTCCCGAAGCAGTGGTAGGGTTAATACTGGGACGTGTATACCTTAGTTCTTTAGAAATTTCCCTAAATGTAAACAAATATGGCCAACTGACATTGACGAATTTTTAGTCTATGTCAGTTGATCTACTAGTGATGCGACAAAATCTCTCGTTAATCGCAATTCTGTAAATGTCATTTACGGACTGCAACAGACGATTATTAGATTTTTAAAGATCGTTTGTATAATTATTAAGATCAATCCCTCTTCTGATTGATGTTGTGATCTGTAATGTGATCGTCAAAATAGGATCTTCTTAATCAAAGAAAATGTAATTTTTCCTTTTTTATTTGTTTAGGAAATATAATTTAAATTATACTGTGGGTCTAGACAAAGTGCACAATAAAATCGTAAACCAGTCGAAAAGTGGTCGAAAGGCCTTTTTTATGTGACACTCGTCTGTATAATAAAACTGAGCCCCAATTACGGTAATTTTTAACGTCTCCAATCCAGACACGCTTCTCGATTCTGCGATACGATTGGTCGTTCAACAGCGTACGTCAGCTGTTTTGACCAATCGTATCGCAGAATCAGAAGCGCGTCTGGATTGGAAACGTTAAAAGTTACCGTAATCGGGGCTCTGAATTCAAAGACTTCTTCGCAAAAATTGCATTCAATGAAGAAAAAATACATTGTTGAATATAACCTCGTTTATATTTTATTTTAAATTAATATTATCAAAGTAATTGGTAATTGAAATAATTGAATACTTTAAATAAAATCGATAAAATTTACAGATGAATCTATGAATATTGTCTATGACTTACAGATTTTCCAGAGATAGGACCTAAATTTCAACGTCAAATGTTGATTTGACATTTTAACATGAAGCACAAATTTTCACCATCCAAATATTTTGTTAAAATATTTTGTTTTCAATGTTAGATTTCATATTTGTTTCATCATGAGAATAAAGTTGGTTTCATGAGCTTGTGAAATAATGTGTATGATATTAAGAAAACGTGAGTATTATAGTGTAATTGTGTGCACAAGTGTTTGTTTACATCGATGGAAATTTCTAAAGAATTTAGGATTAAAAGAGCTTTTCAAAAGCCTACTTGCAAAAATAAAATGAGTTTTATGAGTTTTTTTATGAGTAGGAATAAGACGTTGTATGTGCTCTTACGACATTTTTCCGAAAATTTTAATTGGTACTTACTTGATTACTTGAGTTTTGTCACTTATGGCGATTTCGGGTCTGTAAATAATTTATAATATTAGGGACAGTACTAAAATAGTATTTTTAGTAGCAAAAGGAGTTTGATTCTTATAGTTAGGTAAGTCAATAGGTTAAAAATGTCAGCTCTATGAAAAGTTACATAAGTTTTCAAGTAAAAGAGTTGAAAACATCATCCTATCCTCACATAATTATAGTGTATAGTTTTAAGTTCCTTTGTTCTATTTTTTATTTTTTATTTTTGTGTCAAATAAAGTTTTTCTTATCTTATCTTATCACATACGCCCGTATTCACAAACGATGCTTACTTAAGTGAAGTAGCAAATCAAACGCACAGCTTTGAATAAAGTTTTTTGGGATTGGTTCGTGTGTCACCGTGTGTCACACGCGCACTGTGAGACCTCATAGTAATGTTTATAAATACGGGCGATAGATGTTTACCCAAGTGCAGAAAAAGGTACTCACTTTATAACTGCAGACACCTTTGCCACCAGATTTAACCTGTAAAAAGCTTCATGAAGATGAAATATTTATAAGAAAACACTATTACTTACAACATACTTGGTCTTTATTTTTTTTGAGTTATTAAATCACAATACTCTCTTAGATTTTGTATGGAAAAGATAAGCTAGTGACTTCACTAATATAACATTTTAAAGCAAATACGAAGAAAACTCAATCCCCCTTATTAATAAAAAGTTACACCTAGGATGGACTCTGGATTAAAATGACATTTCCATACTAAATGACAACTTAAGCCAGAGTTCAACTAGGGTGTAAATTTTATTAATAAGGCCCAATCAGTTTTCTTTTCAGTTTTAGTATGATGTAAACAATTTACTGTAAAATATATTTTTAATAGCAATGCAACAATAGTAACCGAAGTATTTAAACCTATTTATAAAAATACATACCATCCCAATTTGTACGGTGTTTTTCGCCTATTTATTGTTGAATACAATCTTTTGACGCCTCGTTCTGAATTAAAAACAATTATTTATGTAGGTATTTTTAATGATCCAAATAAAAAAAACAGTCTTTGATGCCAGCTACTTCTTGCCGTTGATTTTAGTGACGACAAAATTAAATCTATATCGATAAAATACCACGATAAGACGATATTTTATAATGACGACAAAACTGAAAACTTACGTTGGTGTTCAGCGATTTCTTCATGAAAAAGAGACTTCAATTTTTTGATGAAATATCTGAAAGAAGAAGAAAGATTAACTGGCAGAAAATATGTAGCGTTAAAAAATCTCCACTAAATATTATAAATGAAAAAGTAGGTTACTCTGTCTGCTAACTACGCTTTCACACTTAAAACTGAACCGATTTTGATGAAAATTGGTATAAAGATAGTTTCAGTCCCGGAAAAGGACATACAGGATAGTTTTTTTTATACTGGTTTTGAAACAGAAACATGTGCGATAAAGTTTTTGTGTGACAGATAAAATGTCACGAGCGAAACCGCGGCTAAAGCTAGTTAGAGAATAAATAAACAAATAAGTTACCGGCTTTCACGGTCACTGCTCATGATCACAGTAATCAGGGAACTGCGGTTCAAAATGTTTCTTTTGACTGTAAAATAAATGAAGAATATTTTTTCCTTTGAAAATAACATTTTTATAGGTACTACAAGTATTAAAAGACATTAAAGTAATTTATTTTCTACAAACGCAGCGTGGGACGACATAATAAAGGTAGCAGGAAGGCTCTGGACGCAGGCCGCTACCAACCGGGCAACATGGAAAGCGTTGGGGGAGGCCTATGTTCAGCAGTGGACGTCCTATGGCTGAGATGATGATGATGAATCGGCTTTTAAAAATTGCATTTACACGTCCCAGTTACTACTTTAACTCTGCTTCGGGACCATAAATAAAAAAGCTCGGTTCAAGTTATCACAATCTTACAACATCCATGCGGGCAGTGCAGGACCGGTCGTTGGGAAAATCCTTGGGGGAGGCCTTTGTCCAGCAGTGGACGGCATTTGGCTGAAACGAACGAACAGCAGCCGTGGCGTATTTCAACAATGTCGGATTCAATTAGCTAGCTAATTTCAATGCGTAATAAAGTTGTAAGTGCACTTACAACATTTGTAGGGCATTTTCAGTATGCTACCTATTCTTCTGTCAAGCCAGCGTCTGAAAAAAAAACAAAACGGTTATAAAAAAAGACTCATATATTTGAAAACGGTTTGAAAAAAAAAATAAAATTATAATAAAAATAAAC